GGAGCCAACTCCTCTCCTCTCCCCTTAAAACCCCCACAAAAATTTAAAAAAAAAAAAGGAGCAGCTGAATCCCTTAGGGCAAAGAGATGATGTACACCAACGAGGGGTTGGATCAAGTGGTAAGTGATTTGTTCCAGTTTAAGCAAGATCTCGAGTTCGAAACCTTGTGAATGCAGCAGTTCTCGTTGAGAGACTCACCCACCATTTCCAGGTGCGCGACGCAGGTTTGGTCTGAATTAGTCGAAACGAAGTCCCGAATACCGGACGGAAAACCCAAAAAAAAAAAGATGATGTACAACTTTTCGTACCATATAGGGAACCCCTTTGTTTTTTTTTTGGAAAATTGTGTTTTGTTTTTGCTAAAAGATTTTTTTTTTTTCAAAAAGATAGTTTCGGTGGCTGACCTGAACCAATGGTGCGGCCATTAGCCCATTGTCTGGTTTTAGAAAGCTTTGGAAAAATGGATCTGGGCCGTAGCTGGATCGGAAAGAAGCCGGGCCACTCTAAAGTCTACTCTCAACCCTATCTTTTTTTTTTTTTTTTACTTATAATTTGGCTAACAGGATATTTAAAAATACATATTAAAAGTATAATATATATCTTTTATTAAATATTAATTTATATAAAAATAAAAATTAATATATATTTTAATATTATTATCACAATAGATAATTTTAATTGATTAGTTAATTAAATTAAATTAAACATTTATATTTTTAACACAAGTGATAACAAGTAATATAAGTTAATATTTTTACATTATTAAATAAATATATATTTAATATTATAAATTTAAATAAATAAAAATAATTAATTATTTAAACAATATATTAAATTATGCTATATAAATTATAAAATTATTTTTTATTTTACATTATAAACTACATTAAATTATAAAACATTATCAATTAAAAGCTAAATTAAAAGAGAAGAGAATCCATGATATGAAGACCAGACAAAGTGCGGTTGGTACTTCCACAACACTTTTTTATTTTTTCTAATATTCCGGCTCCATTCGGGTTGGTTTTTTTTTTTTTTAAATTAATTTTACGTTCCAATCAATCAAGTCATCAGTTGTCCAATGCGTTTCATCACGGTAACACGTGTACATCACCTTCCCTCTCTCTTGACGTGGCATCCACCCAATTACCTGATGTCATCCGCAACTGTACACGTGCCACCCAACGATTCCCAAACTCAGGCCGAGTAATTAATTAATTAATTATGAAGGGTTTTAACCTGTGGAGTAAAGTCACAAATTAAGTTTATTTTTTATTACAAATTTATATAAAAAAATGTAAAAATTGACATTAAATTTAATATCAGATGAATTTAATTAAATAATTAATAAATTTAAAATTAATTTTTTAACATAAATTAATAATTAAAAAATATATTTAATACACTTTTAATTTATACCATTTAACTTAAATAAACTCATTAATTATTTACTCCTATTTCAAATTTCAGGGGGTAAACACGTAAAACTATCTCCCTCCCGTCCCGCGTTGCGTATTAAGAGTAAGAGTAAAGCTGGCAGTTGTACCGGCTGCCCCGTGCTTGCTTACGTTCTCTTCTTCCCTGAAAATTCTGCTGCTTTGCGGGATCTGAATACAGAATGAGTCGCTTCAACGATCCTAATCCCTTCGACGAAGAGGAAGAAGTCAATCCTTTCTCCGTAATTTCCTGATTTCCGATTGTATTTTCCGTTATTTTCTCAGATCTACCGTTGTTTTGTTTTGTTCTTCTTCTGATTTAGATTTTGTTCATTTTCTTCTTTCGGAGAATTTAAATGCTTAGAATCATGAGGGAGTGTGTTTGGTGCACGGATCTGAGTGTCTTTGTTGCTGAGACGAGAAAATAGTCTGTTTGGTTGCTGAGAAAATGTAGGAAAGAAAATTTTACTCAATTTTTTAAATCTAAAATGTCTTTACATGAATTTAAGGCGATATTTCTGCTATTTCTTAATATAAGACGTGAATTACGTAGTTTTTTTTGGATGTAATTGTGAATAATGATGGATTCACATTTTTACAACTGCTCTGTGCCTATTTTATAACTGATTAGAAATTTTACGTTTTAGTTTGAGTTACAGTACAGATTTTAGTTTGAGTTACAGTACAAAGACGAATTCCGAAAAATAGTTTGGAATTGGAACTTCATGGCAAAAAAATTGGTGTTAAGAAGATTGAGAATTAATTAGGTGGCATTTTCTTATGAAAAATGTTTTTTGAAGCAACATTCGACGTTTGGTAAAAAGAAGAAAACCTAACTGCGAAGTGCATTTTAGAAAGTAGAAAGGAAAAATGAAAAATTGTCAACAGCTATCTCACTAAATTTAGGGGAGGAAGTGGATGAGTTTAAAGTTTTAAATTTCTTTCTTATGTAAAAAATTAGAAAATTCAGGGAAAAATAATCTTGGGGTGTTGAACAATTTGGCTCCCAAATAGGCCTACTTTGTTCATATGGTAGTTTTAGCTTGTTAAGAGACAGGTCTTTCCAAGTTTGTAGAAGAATGGAGTCTGGGGTAAACATCTTTGTTCTCTGATTGGAGTAGCCAGACATTTGATTTTTCTTATTGTTTAGGAAGTAAAATGGTCAATCAATAATATGCCACAATTCAAATTTTTATGTGTAAATATTTGCAGATGTTATCTATTATTGTCTATTGTCAGTGAACTTGTATTCTCTACGAAACAAGGCTTCAGCAAAGTTCGGATCTGAATATATTGTTCTGCCACTCTGTTTATTTTCATTGGGCTCCACTGTGTCACTTATTGAGGAGTTTTGCAGAAGGGCGCTGCAGCTGCAGGACGTGTTCCTCCGGTGGCTTCTGTACCTCTTGGATTTGGGGGGAAACATGATGCAACAGTGGACGTACCATTGGATACAATGAATGTAATGAAGTTTTAACTTCTTTTATTTTTATCTCTATATCTCCATGTGCACCACACAACTGATTCCTTTATATTGTGCCATGATCCGTGCAGGATACCAAGAAAAAAGAAAAACAGCTTGCAGCTTGGGAAGCTGATCTTAAAAGGAGGGAACAGGTTTTTTTTTTTTTTTTTAAGCATGCTTGTCTGCAAGTTTTAAGTTGCTCTCTTCTTCTTCTTCTTCTTTCTTCCCCTTAGTTCTGAGTTTGTGAGATTTTGAATGAGTACCAGTGTTTAGTCTTAGACTCAAGTTTTGTTCCTCTTTTCAGGAAATAAAGAGAAGAGAAGATGCTGTTGCAAAAAGTAAGTGAAGAAAGTATGAGCATCAGATTGTTCTAATGATTCATTTTATTTTATATATTCTGCTAATTTGGTAATTCTTTGCTCTTTTCTATTTGGAATATCAGCTGGCGTTACCCCAGATAATAAGAATTGGCCACCATTTTTCCCAATCATACATCATGACATTGCTAATGAAATACCAGTTCATGCTCAAAGGTTACAATATCTGGCTTTTGCAAGTTGGCTAGGTATGGTTTCACTTTTTACTTGCATGGGAATTTGTTCTTCTTCATTTGTCTAATGAAATTCGGAGTTATAAAAAATTTTTTGGGAATTTGTTCTTCTTCATCTGTGTAATGAAATGGTGAGTTATAAAATATTTTTTCTCCTGATCATTATCATGATATTTTCAAAATAAAATATTTAGACCTTTTTCCTTTTTGTTTTCATTTTTGTTGCAGGAATAGTTCTTTGTCTTGTTTTCAATGTTATTTCTGTGACTGTCTGCTGGATTCAAGGCGGTGGTGAGCATCATATTTCAATGACATTTTTTGCATTTAAGATGGAGTTACATGTTGTGGCTAGTAATTTAATTCCATTGTTGCCACTACTTTCTAGGTGTTAAAATTTTTTTCCTTTCAATAATCTACGCATTGCTCGGAGTGCCACTTTCCTATTTGCTGTGGTACAGGCCACTTTATCGAGCTATGAGGTAAGCCTCTATTATGGCATCTTCTCTCTATTTCAGTTAAAAACTCATCAAAGTGTATCTCATTCCATCTGACTGAAGCATGCCCTTCTCATACATACTGAGAAAATAAATGCTAGAATTTGATGTTTTAAACTACACTATTCTTCTATATGATCTTGAACTGGGATTTAGATAGATTTGAATTATTTAATTAATTAATTGGGATGTTTAGTTTAATTATAATATGAGATTATATTGGTTAGATGGTAGTTAAAGCACACAGCTTACATGCCTTTAAAAGTTTGAAAATGTGACCATAAGCAACATGGTTAAGAGGCAACATTGTACTAAAAAGGGGTAAATTGAGTTGTAAAGTCCGTTGATAAGTAGGAAGGGATGTTTTTTGCATGATGATGGCTGTTTTATATGGCTATTCTTCTTTCATTTTGCAGCACTGATAGCGCATTCAACTTTGGTTGCTTCTTTCTGCTCTACTTGGTGAGTTCAATTATGATTGGAATTGGATGAAGTCTCTTTTTTTTTTTTTTTTCAAATACATAACCTTGTTTATTTTCCTTTTGCAGTTGCACATTGCATTCTGTATTATTGCAGCCATAGCTCCTCCAATTGTCTTCCATGGGCAGTCATTGACGTAAGTTCTCAATTCCTGTTAGATGTGACCAATGGGTGGAATTTATGTTTCTGCTAGGATAAAAGGTCAGATGATGCACAATTATGAAAGATTAAATTACCGAGAACTTCCTGGTGCTGCTTTATGCAACTTGTGGAACATGTGCATCTAGAAAGAAAACTTTTTAATTGAATTTTATTCAAGGTTACTAGATAGTACTTAACCGTGCATTAGAATAAAATGATTTCCATATCCCAGGAGTTAATTTCCATCTCATTAATAAAATAGTAATTTTATCTATTTGTATCTATCCAAAACATTTATACTAATCGTATTGGATGGTTTATTCTTTTTGCTTCTTCTTTTTTACTGATTGCAGTGGCATCCTAGCAGCTGTTGATGTTATATCCAGCCATGTGTTGGCAGGGGTAAGTTTATGGTATTACCATGTTGGCATTTGAGATATTAGCATTATGCCCTAGAAATCTAGGGATTGTTTTCCCATTTCCTTTCTCCTCAAGGTCTTTAACTGGTAATTAAAAATTTTTCATTTAGTGCATCTGGTGCCAAGCTTAAGAACATTTATCCTTTTCAAGAGTGGCTGTCTGTTGACCATTATGATAGATGGATGCTATTGTATAGCAATTTAAACAAAATATAATAATGTTATTTTATCCTTGCCTTTATATAGCCCACTTTAGGGTTCAAATTTTAAATTTTGATTTTTGACGTCCGAGATACAAAAGTTTCTTAAAATCTTAGGTATTATTTTGAGTCTTTGGGCATAACCTGTTTCTGTTGGGTTGTTTGCAGATCTTCTATTTTGTTGGTTTTGGGCTGTTTTGCTTAGAGACATTGCTGAGTTTATGGGTTCTCCAGGTCAGAGGCAACTTTTTTCTCTTGATGTTTGCTAAGCTTATTACCATTTTTCTTCAAAATATTGTGCCGCATGACATTGTCTCTTCCTGTGTTGGATTGAGTTATTAGAGTTCCATTTATACCCTCGTCTTTGACCACTTTTTTGACTGTTGATTATCCAACTTCTTGGAGCAGCAATATGATGCCTTTCAATAGCGTAGTTAAGAACATAGTGAATAACTGAGGAGTGGCAAAGCCATGACGTCCGTATGGTTTTAACTGTGGGGTGTTCTATACTTGAACATGTCTTAATTGGCTCATTCTGTTGTCAAAACATACTTACAAAGTTCTCCAATAAGTGAATATTTTTAAGATGTTGTTTATTAAAATTGTGTTGCAAAATACACTAGGGTTTTAGAATTGTCAGTAGACTGCAAGATGACTTCTTGTGTTCGCTAATGATTTTTTGACTGGAATTCTCTGGCATGATAGCATTACGTTTTTCTACACAAACTACTCTTGCATCTGACTTGGTTTGTCTTCTGTGTTTGTTTTTGCAGAAAATTTACTTGTATTTCAGGGGGAACAAGTGAGATGTGATTGAAGGCAGTGGTCCATTGTGGATTTGTAATACTACTGCTTGGGTGGTTTGGTATAGATATATTTTTCTACCTTGAGTTACGTCTGCTATTCCACAGTGATTGTATTTTCATTTTTTCCTGTTAAATGATTGTGTTAGCGCATAAATTCATTTGTGTAAGAAGCAGATTAGAGGAAAACCATCATTTTGCTTTAGATAAGTACTTCAATTAATTTCAAGTGTTGACAGAAGGGTTTATCGTGTTCAACGAGCTTCTCTTTGTGGCTTTGGGATTACTGTACAGTTATCTCTTCTTTTTTTTTTTTTTTTTTTTTTTTTTTTTTTTT